ATGATTATTCTGTCGCCACTTAATTTAAAGACATTTTGATGTACGTAGGTCCTTACGTTCTGTACAAAACAGTTATTTTTATTTCATGGGTTACTTTCGCCTGATTTCGCAATAAATTTCGAAGTTTTAAAAATTGCTATCGTAGAAAAAATCCGTCGCAAAAAATCACGTACAAAGATTGCCGATAAACAATCGCAATGATGAAAAAATTGGAATCTTAAATTTCAGGATTGCAAGTCCCGGATACGGTCTGATTTGTTTTTAATTTGTTCAAAGAGTCGACCTAATTCCAAAAATGATATATTCTGGGCTACGGCCTCTAAGAGTAAAGTTTTAAAAAAAATGTATGACACAATGACATTCGCATTATTTTATAGAAGAAAAAAATCAGCTAGAGAGTTGTGTCCCTTTAATTGAAAAAGTTGGATACAATGACACACTCACATTTACATTTATTATATAGAAGAAGATGAGCTATTGTAAGTTCGAAAAATGTGTCCCTTTAATTGAAAAAATGTGACAGAATGACACACTGACATACGAAGTTTTTATATAGATTTACATGTAAAATAAATAAATATGCTGTTTAAAATAATGTACAAATATAAAATATATATATATATATATATATATATATATATATATATATATATTTGGATAGATGTGAGTTTGTGACCCTGGGTTTCACGCTTTAGCGATCGTCAGACAAACTGATTAATTTTTTTAAAATTTTGGGTTTATGTAGATTGCGTGTATTGGTGTTATTGTGGAAGTGGTGGCGGAAACTTCGTCGATTATGTCATCGTACTAACGCAAACATCGATGTATGCAGACACATATACATACTTGGTCGTCCGTCGGGACTCATACATATATAAATATATGTGGGCAGTTTCGGATATGACATATGTATGTATACGGGTGGTGTTGTGTCTATACATACGCATTTGTATGTTGAAATGTTGAAATTTAAAGATTGGAAGTGTGGCGGAAATGTCTTGTGAATGTCTCGTGAATGTATACATGTCATGTTATTTATTTTTCCGCTGAATAATATTTCCTCGTATGTATGTATATACGTGTGGTGGGGTTTGTGTAAAATTATGATAGGTAAAAATTATTATTATTTATATTTATTTTTAAATTTTTGAAAAAAATGGGTGTTTATTTGTTATATTTAAAGCTGGTTATTTGTTTGTTTTTGGTGACTGTGTATATGTAACAGGTAGAAATTTGTAATCCTTATTGGTTAATTTATATGGTGATGTTTAATATTTAATGTGCTGGGTGAGAGGGTAGCTTAATTTAATAACTGGTCTATATGATATGATGTGATAGTAATGTTGCAAGGGATTGGAGACAGTGATAATATTATTAGCTAATAGTTATTGTAAATTGGTAGAAATTGTAAATTGGTTGAAATGATTGGGTAACGGTGGTGGGAGAATGATAAAACCATATAAATAGTTATAGTGGCGGTAGCTAGTGGTGGTAGCTTGAACTAAAATGTGGTTGTTGGTGTTTTATTTTATTTTATTTCATTTTGTTATATGTATTAATTTATTTTGGTATAAATCCTGATAATAGGTATTCTGTGTAAAATTATGGTAGTTGAAGATAATTTTTAATTTTTAATTTACAAAATTATTATTGTTATTATATTAAAGCTAGTTATTTCCTTGTTTTTTTTTTGTGACTGTGTATATGTGACTGGTAGAAATTTCAGTTTGTAATCCTTATTGGTTACTCCCCCACCCCACACACATACACACACACACACACACACATATATATATATATATATATATAGAGAGAGAGAGAGATAGATAGATAGATAGATAGATAGATAGATAAAAACATAGATATGAACAAATTGACGAAGATAGATACAAACAGACTCAGATCTGAACAACTGACAAACATAGATATATGAACAATCTGATATAAGTAGATACAAATATAGATAGATAGATATGACTAAATTGTCTAGAATGGATATATAATTTTTATTTCGTATTTCTATATATATTTGATTATAATGTAATTATTTCAGTCAATATGCGCGCACGTTCTAAAGTCTGCCAACAATTTTTGTGGTTCTTGTCATTAGCAGTCCCTGCTGACATATGATTTACGTCATGCTCAACTGTCGTGAATGGAATCCTCTTACCTTTTTCTAAATGTTATAATTCATAGAAATGTTTCCATTTAATTCTTGCTACCAATTTCTAACGAAATGTCTTCCATTTGGTAACGCGAATGACGGAGACTTCCCCTTCCATGCGAACAGGACACGTTATATTATGGGTCGACCGTGCCGCTGTGTTAAAAGGAATCAACACTCCACACTGGGAGTCCAAATGTCACTTCAAATCATGGAATCGTAATGGTTCTTCCCAACGCAGCTTAGCTGTCTCGTGCAATATTGTGCCTAGGTTTAGAATTATATATAAGACTGGACACAATCCTATGAAGATTGCGTTCAAGCATGAAATATTCACGCTATGCACTGTAGCTCCTTATATTTGCAGTGGCTCTATCACTGATATTGAACACTTAACATTAAAATAAAGCATACCTTAAAATATAGTTTTCATCACACACACACACACACACACACACACACACACACACACACACACACACAACAGTGTCTACCGTAAACTTTAAACTTAATAATTCAAAACATGTTTATGTCGATATTTATCCTTAATTTGGAGTAAGGAAGCCACGCTCAAAGTTTGTAAAAGTATTTTTGATACACACTATATATATGTGGGTTTGTAAACAGTGACAATTACCGATAACAATGCAAGACTCTTCAGTAAACTGACTCGAGTTCTCTCAGCCACTGTGTGTTTATCTGACGCCGATTCAGTCGGGTTTCAATCCTAGCTAGAGGCAACCGGACGTCTAATCACACTGATAAGCTGTGATACAGCGAAACAGTTTCTCTGTGAATGAGAATATATATATATATATATATATATATATATATATATATATATATATATATATATATATATATATAGATAGATAGATAGATAGATAGATATAGATATCATTTCCCTTTATTCAAATATTATAATATAAACATGTTATAATATCACTACAAAAAAATAGCCATTTTGTTTCAACATTTCTGGTGTCTTATGAAGTGATTCTTCCAGGTGGCCTTGTTGGTGATGAATAGGTTTTGACTTATAATCTTTTTCCTCAATAGTCTCCGGCATCTCTATCGCTATTTCCATGGTAAATGTTAAACAGAGTTCAAACTATTCTTTGGTTTCCATAACTTTAAGACTGCCAGAGTTTACCCGCCATGGCTCGCTTTCAGTGACGTGAACTATCATAATTCTCTTACTATTCCCTTAGTGAAAAAAAAAAAAAAAGGAAGTTACGCTCAGAGAGCGTCTTATGTGTGTAACAATCTCCCAGGAGAATTCTTTCCCGTTCACTTCAATCATAATCTTTTTCAAGTCTCGGTTTAACCCTTACCTTTCACAGCTACGCCAGTTTCAGTTGCCGCTCACACAACAGCTACTTTCAGTAACTCTTTACCTTCAGTTATCATTTGGCCTTGCATATGGACCCATCTCTTCCGGATTCTGTAATTGGCAGGTGAACGCAAATATAAGCGTCCAATATTTGGCATTTCTCCTACCAAATAAATACTTATAAACTCAAATATGATAATGGTTATATTAGTTTATTTCGTAATTGGCCTCTGGTAGTCAACGTGTTAACGAAAAATAAGACCACATCAAACGCACGGTCGTACCTAGCTTATTCAGTCAGTATACTAATATACACTGCGATTTAGCCGCGTTCATTTAATTATTTCGCGACGAATGTATTTTTATAATGGATCGGCTATGCGATCTTTACGAATAAAAACGAATAATATATTTTTATTACGATTCCTCACCTATCCGCATAAACTAAGCCAGTTACAGTTACCACTCACAGAATGGCTGATTTCAGTAACTCCTTAACTTGAGTTGCTATTGGGCTTTGCATATAGTCCCGCCTATTCCGGATTCAGTAAAGGCAGGTGAACGCAAATATAAGGTCAAATATTTGGCTTTTCTCCTACCAAATAAATACTTATTGATTCAAATATGATAATGGTCATGTTTGGCATGCATTGAACTAGAAACCAGTAAATTTTTCAGTTTAAAATTATAAAATCCTTTTTTTAAAATAAATTTTCAGAAAAAAAAAAGTTTCTCAAGCCCAGTAGCTGTTATTGTTCTTTCCATTATTGATGGGGGTTTCCTTCCTAACCTTTTGTTTGAAGTAGTGTGGAATATCAACGTGTTTATTATGCCATTGTTTTCACTTGGAGTTGAACTTGCTATCCATTTTACTTGTTGCTGCTGTTGGTTCTCCTCGAGTGATGGCTTTTCCGTTATTTGGTTCAGATATTTCTTAATGCATCTGTATCGCCAGTCCACAATGTTCAAAGATGAATGATATTTACCAAGACCCTCAGGCTTTAACGCTGAAAATTTTTTCACCATTGATCTTTGAAAGTGGTTTTCTGCAAATGACAGTTCGGGTATATCCTAACTTGTTTGGCGTCCTGCATGGCATCCATATGAAAGTCTTGACCTGCTGAGGCTATTTAAGACCATGGCTCGTGTTTTCCGGTTGATGTTTTCGTTTTGTAGCTGTTTACTGTGTTGCGAGAAACTAGCCCTAACGAAGCCTCTACTTTGCTCAATTTCCTTTTCTCTTATACTTAATTTGTTATAATTGATCCAAACGCCGAGGTGTCTGAAGCATTTGGTATTTACTTTTTCTACGTCCTGAATTGTTATGGTCGATTCAGTGTCGGTGCCATCGCTTCTTTCATTCCAATTCAGGATCATAGATGACTAATAAATACCAGAAATACAAGCTTCTTTGATAAGCTATATATATATATATATATATATATATATATATATATATATATATATATTGATAGATCAATAGATATAAATACGCTTTGCAGATTATAGGTAATGAAAAGCTAAGACAGAGATAGATAGATAGATAGATAGATAGATAGATAGATAGATAGGTAAGAGAGTGATAGATAGATATGAAAAGTTAAGCGTAGGAAGTAAAGATAGATAGATAGATAGATATGCAAAGCTAAGAGATAGATAGATAGATAGATAGATAGACAGATAGATAGATAGATAGATAGATAGATAGATATACAAAGCTAAGAGGGCGATAGATAGATAGATATGCAAAGCTAAGAGGGCAATAGATAGATAGATAGATAGATAGATAGATATACAAAGCTAAGAGGGCGATAGATAGATATGCAAAGCTAAGAGGGCAATAGATAGATAGATAGATAGATAGATAGATAGATAGATAGATAGATATGCAAAGCTAAGTGATAGATAAATAGATATGCAAAGCTAAGTGATAGATAGATAGATCTGCAAAGCTAAGTGAGTAATAGATAGATAGATAGATAGATAGATAGATATGAAAAGTTAAGAGATAGATATGAAAACTAAGAGAGTGATATATAGATATGGAAAGCTGATAGATATGTAAAGATAAAAGAGTAATAGATATATAGATAGATATACCGATATATCCGAAGTGTTTGGCATTTACAATTTATTCCACATACCGAAATTTTATGGTGAATTTAGGGTAGATGCCATCTTTGATTCCATCCCAATTGCAGCCTATTCTACGTTCAATTTCCTTTCCTCTTCTACTAAATTTGTTATAGCTGATCCATACGCTCAGGTTTCTGAAGGGTTTACATTTTACTAATTTCACGTCCTGAATTTATTCTATTTTATTTTTATTTATTTTTTTTGAACAATCAATTTTGATCGATTCTCGAAGTAAATAAATACCTAAAGACTCAAATATGAACACTTATATTTATCTCTCCTCAAAATATGCCAAATGCTCAAGTTTTAACGACTAATATCTACTGATATTCACAACTGACACTCAGCCGACCTGGAAAAGCTCGTAATACTTAAAAATCGACAGATTTAAAGAATGTTCCCTGAACCTCCGTTGGTCGAAGTAGCAGAATTGCCAAACATCAAGCAAAGTTAATAAAAATATATTATTCGTAAAGATCACACAGCCGATCCATTATAAATTTAAAAGACCTCGCGAAATAATTAAATGAACGCAGCTAAATCGCAATCATTATTTTATATCTTTAAGCATTCTCCACTTGATTTGATCTATATGCACACACACACACACACACACACACACACACATATATATATATATATATATAATATTAGTGGCAAATATACACATACATATGCAATCATATATCTAAAATATATAAATATATATACGTACATACATACTCATACATATATATTTGTATAAAAAATAATTCCAAGGGGACAGAATTTATTGTATATATATATATATATATATATATATATATAGCTATTTCAACTGTAAAATGATGAGACCTTGCCGCCAATCTAGTACAAGATGAGAATCCATTTTCCGAAATACATGGTACCGGAAGTACTTCGGTTTTCAAATCTTTTCGGATTTTGTAAATCAGGCTATTTAATTTGCATATAACATCTCTAAAGTGAAGGATCTTGGGAAACCAAGTATAAACACGATATCAATTTACATTGCATAACACACCTTATACATCTACCCTGAATATAGTTTTATATAATATTTAATAAATGTTGTGTACATACAGGTACAAGTCATGTTACAATTTTTAAATGGTGAAATTAAGATTGCACGTAAAAATAATGTTCTGTACTTTCTGTACCTGTACAAAAAAAAAATCAGGATCACGACTTACAAAAATATATACTTACGGACTTTTTCAAATTTTGAATATTATCTTTAGTGAGCACGAAACACCTGCTAAGTAATTCACGAACGAAAGTGTTGCAGCGGCGATCGCTAACCAAAAACAGACGCCAAAGTAGGCGACGTTGCTGGACTGGGGAATCCCCACCCAGAGAAAATGACGTCACTCATAATAGCTGCACATCACCTTATAAACTTGCTAGTGTTTCTGAAAATATCCATTGGTGGCAAATCATATCAGCATTTGAAAAATTTCGGATCTTTGAAAGGTTTTCGGATTTGGGAATTTTGGATAAAAGGATACTCAACTTATTCTTATATGTCTCCGTGTCAATTGGAGAAAACGGAAACGTGTATTTCCGTTCCAAAAACCGAAGGGAAATGATGAAAAGCTTTTTCAAATATCGCGTCGTCTCGTGATTATCGCCACGGTGTCGGTTTTCCAACAAATTTCAACTGAAGTTTTAACATCGTTTCATATTAAAAGTAACACTGAGAATAAACTTCGGAGCCACAGATGAAAATGTATCAGAAAATGTTAAACCCTAAATAACACTTAGTGGAGGATCTTTTTTTAGTCGGTATCACCCCATGCAAATCGGCAAAGCCACTTAAAACAAAAGTGAGTGTGGAAGAATTAGAAACAGAAACATTAATAATGAGCAGGAAGAGAAAAGAGAAATCAGGAGGTCAGTAGATAGTGTTTGACATTGTATTTAAATTTTTGAGGATGAAATTGGCGCTGAAAAGCATGGAGCTGAAAGTGAATTCCACCAGAGAGAAGTGCAAGAAAAGAAACTGTTAGCGTAGAATTTACAGTTACATCTAGCCAGCTCAACTGTAAATTGTTGAGATCTCGACGCTAGTCTAGTAGTGCGGTTAAGTTTACAAAACTCAAGTTATCATAGCGATGAGCTTATCCGAACAATTAACATTAAAGTATTTATAGAAAAAAAACACTGAGAGTCAACCTTACGATGGTGAGAAAGTGACTGAAACCGAGCCACCAGATCAGGACCAATAATATTGCCGATTCTTCTTTGAATTTTATCAAGGAGATCAAGGTAAATAGCTATATTTAGCTGTCCCCACCCACGTGGCGTAGCATGTGGCACAAGGCCGAGTTTAATGTGGGTAATCCGAGCCCGTAGGCCCGGCCAAAAATATAGCCTTCGAACCCGCCTAGGCGGGCCCGAGAGCTGTCAACCTCCCCGAACGAAACCTTGCCCTTCGGCAAAGCTTCGTTCGGGTTCCTCCCTGCTAATGCAGAAAGTTCGACAGACAGCGGTTGCTGTAAGTTTGATACAGCAAGGTAAATAGCAGGGCCACCGGACCGTATGTGGCATACACTATTATTAGAATGGACATATCTCATATGCAAGTTGGCCTACTTCTTAGTCGGCAGCATAATAAAAACTGCAAACCACGAGTTATCTCGTGTTTAGTAGTCAATGTGCTAAAAGATACACTCGCAATTCTATGAAATTTCTGATATCCTGACCTTCAGAATCGCTCGTTTGCCGTAACGATAATGTAAACATGGTAGATCCCTTTGATTGAATGCGATCTCTTAACAATTACGTATGCTTATTACAGTTATTCACACCGAGCAAAATATCCACTAAATTATCTCAAAAACAAGCCTAAGCTTACATATGACACTGTAATATACTGATTGATTCACACTCTATCTAATTTAACAGCGTTACAACACAAAACAAACTGTCCACAACTGTAATGCGTATCAGCTAGCTTTTGATAATCACTTCTTAAATATTCAAAATGGTGTAGACGACGCATGCGCAAGACCATACCAAATATAAAAGCCTATTTAAAAAGTTTTCAAAGTTAGGAGAGAGAGAGAATAACAGCGCCTTTGATATCATGAACAAGCAATTCTGCGTTCAGAGAAATTTACGGTAAGGCGAACAGCCGTCGCTTTTATTAAATTGCCCAGATTTCGTATTCTGATTGCTAGCCCGGGGTTCGTTCACTACAATTTGCGTCTATCAGAGGCGAGCAAATAAGAAACATCTTTTCAGCTCGGAGACGGAGGCAGTGTCGGGGAGACATTAGGTAAACTAAGTGGCAAGTCAGGACAACAGAATGTGAGACTTACTATTGGTCGACGCTGATTTAATTTGCATTTCTTTTCCATCCGGGCATCTATCTCATTCACAGATCTAATGAAGATAATGACGATGTGTTCCGACCAGTTGGTGATCTTTCTATCGCTTCAGACTGCGCAGTGGGACCTCCTTGGGCAGAAATCCTTATTCTAGCTTGGCACTGACTTCTGATGCTTTCGTATGCTGCCAAGGAAACCATCTTTAATTTCGTTCTCCAACAAGTGGACAATCGAACTCACAGATGCGAAGTGTCCCATAAATTTCCAATCTTTCGAATTGGTCAGTTAGGCTAAATGGTCTTTCAGTCAATCTTGATTTGATCTTGTATATAGTGATTGCTTAACTGTAATGCCAGTGGCTTCAAGATTGTTGTGAAATCAATCTTCATCGGTTACAAATAAATGTCACGATGATAGCTCATTACAAAATGGCTTAAACATAAAAGGTTTGCGCTTCAGTTCGTAGAATATCTATCTATCTATCTATCTATATATATATATATATATATATAAAGACAAAAAGAAAACTCATTTTAGTCGACGCGTCTAATCCTTTTATGTTACTTTATCAAAGGCAAATTCATTGATAAGGTTCCATTGATAAGTTTTCCTTTTCTTTATTCATAGTGTATTTTTACAGATATATTCTATATGAAATATATATATATATATATATATATATATATATATATATATATATATATATATATATATATATATATATATAGTTAATATCAGTTAATATGTCATGAAGTAAGTATATAGTCCAATTAATATAGTGTTATGTCTTAGTAGTTTTTTAAGGAATTTTTTTTTGTACTGCGGATCGATAGTTTTTTTCATAAACATAAAACAGTATATATTTATATAAAAGCAGCATATATTTATATACAAAGAAATAATCATGCATAGAATCAATCAGCAATATTAATGCTATTATTGGCGATATCACATCGCTAGTAGAATATAATGTGTGCATTAAAATACTGTTAATCCACAGAATGATGTGATCCTCATTTATAAAAAATTCATATTACTGAAAACACTTGTAAAAATAGAATACGTGAATTTACCACATCACAAAAAAAAGTTCAAATAAAAATTCTCACTTAAAATTTTGAAAAACTTAGCGTTGAGTCTTTGCACGTTCCGATATTGTACACAACCGTCAATAATTGCTCATTCTCAAAAAACATCTTTCGATCTACAAACAATTATATCGTTTCCAAGTTTTAATTTTAAAAGGAAAAAAAATATGCCTGAGGATGAATAAAGGATTATTCGAAAGTACTAGCATTTAAAAAAATATATAAACTGGAAACAACTGACAACATTGTTATAAATGAGGATCACATCATTCTATGGGTTAACAGTATTTTAATGCATATATTATATTCTACTAGCGAAGTGATTTCGGCATTAATCGCATTAATATTGCTGATTGATTCTATGCGTGATTAATTCTTTTATATATATATATATATATATATATATATATATATATATATATATATATATGTGTGTGTGTGTGTGTGTGTGTGTGTGTAGTGTTTGTGTGTGATCGAAACAATTTACAGGAAATTGTTTGGATCTTATTAATTGTAATTCACTTATATGCTCTATAATAAAAAAATTGCATTGAGCTCTCATTTGTAGATCAGTTTTAATATTTTATATTAATAGTATCGGATATTTTATATATATATATATATATATATATATATATATATATATATATATATATATATATATATATATATAAGAAAATGATAAAATGCCAACCTAGTGCGCAACCCGGGTTTCGACCGGAAGTTCTCTTCAGGTAAGTGAAAGCATGTACAAGCCAACTAAAACTCCTCCAATACACCAGAACGCAGCAAGTGAGAGGGTAAAAGTATGAGGATGATGGGAGGCGAGAGAGCCGAGAAAAAATTGTGAGAAAAGAGGAGGGAAAATTAATTATTTTATTTCGCTCATCCCTGTCCATACGTACCTAAAAAAATATTTACTTAAATGCCTGATATAATCTCAGTTATCTCATTTAGTAAAACACCTTTATCAGGATATATCCAGCACGCACACACACACACACACACACACACACACACACACACACACACACACATATATATATATATATATATATATATATATATATATATATATATATATATATATATATATATTGACTCGCTTGAGCGATTACGACTGAGTACTGAATTCGATTTCAGCTCATTTGCCGCATCAAAGCTACGTTTAGATTTTAGGGTACTATGCTGTAGTGTAATGATTAGGTAGTTTTCTTCCCTAGGTGAATTAAGACCGAATTGCGGGTTCGATCCTCACCATTTCCCTATATAAGCGAGCATGTGTTACATCGAAGCAGTGCTTAGTAAATATAAGAACAGGTTCGGTATAACGTTCGCTTGCTAACCATGAGAAGATGGTCCAAATTTTATGGTCGATTATTTAGGGCGGTGATTGACGTTATTAGACTGATAACGCCAGATCTATCCCCGAATTTTAACATTTAACTCCGCCAACCATAGTTTCAGTATAAACCATATATCGGATATGTAGTCTTTGAACAAATATACGAGAAAACAGTGATGACTGAGCTGTGGAATCTTGAATGGATTAATAACAACTCTTCTTATTAATAACTGTAGTGTTTCTTTCCAGGTTCGAGAGTGGGCTGAATACTTCACAGGCTGACTATGAAGGAATGATGCCTGAGCTGTGATATCTTGCACGCATTAATTTCGACTCTTCTTTTTAATAACTACATTGTTTATTTCCAGATGCGAGGGTGGGCTGAAAAGTTTATAGGCTGACTATAAAACAGTGACACGAGTGCTGTAAAATCTTGTATGCTTTAATTTCAACTTTTATTAATGATTGGATTGTTTTTTTTTTCAGGTACAAGGGTGGGATTTAAAGTTCATAAGTTGATTATGAAGGTGTGATGAGGAAGCTGTTAATTCGTTGTATTACATGCATATGAATGTTTCGATCTGACAAGGGAATACAAGAACATAACATAACTTTTTAAGTTTCTGTTTTTTGGGGGTTTTTTTGTTTTGTCAAACTGGCGCTGGCTAAAACTAATCCCATCAGTGCCTGTTATATGTTAAGTTTCATTATCGACGAAACTAAAATTTTTATAACAGTTTCATACACCGAGGTGTTTGAAGTGTTTTTTTATTTTATTTAATAATCCTACGATCTTAAATTTTTATCATGGACTCAGGATAGATGACATCCCTGCTTTTTTGTCCAATTAGAGATAATCATTTATGTTTTGCAAAATATATCTTGGTACCTATTTTTTGGATAACCTCGTAGAGAATCCTGATATTTTGTTTAAGAAAATTCTTATCACAATAATCTATACTTATGCTGTCAGCAGAACTTCAATCCTCGTCGTTATATTGGCCTCGAGAGCGAAATCAGGATCGTTGTCGTCTATTATAAGATCAGTTTGGTTCATTCTATTTTACCGTATATCAACCTAAATGGGTTATTTAATGCCGACAATATGTTTATTGGGATTTTCTTCAAAAATATTTTTCGGAAATAATAAGTTTTTCTCGAATATATTGCTGGTACTAATTTTTCCAAAAATTTACTACTGGTAATAATTTTTTCCAAAATTCATATTCTATTTTACGGTATCTCAGCCTCAATAGGTTATTTAATGCCGACAATATGTTTATTGGGATTTTCTCCAAAAATGTCTTGCTGAAATAATAAGTTTTTCTTAAATATATTGATGGTACTAATTTTTCCAAAAATTTACTACTGGTAATTTTTTTTCCAAAATTTATATTCATTTTACGGTATATCAACGTCAATAGGTTATTTAATGCCGAAAATATGTTTATTGGTATTTTCTTCAAAAATGCTTTGCTGAAATAAGAAGTTATTCTCAAATATATTGCTGGTAGTAATTTTTACAAACATGTACTACTGGTAATATTTTTTTTCCAAAATTTATTGCTGCTATTTTTTACTGTAAAAATCAAACAAACTATTTTTACACTTTCATAGTGTGCTGACGCTAGTTTTGGGATGAACAATTTGCCCCTAGCTAGGACCCTAACAGGTGCTACTACCACGTGTCAGGGTGGACCAGGGAACACCATCAATTAAGAGGTGGTTCCACGCTGCTCAAATCCTCCTGATAGAGGCCTTGCTGCCAGTTGTAGTTTATCGTCATACCTAGGATCTTAAATGATCAGTGCCCATCACTTCATATGTGTGCTTGTATATGTGCAGAATTTAGTCTAGGAAGATATTAACTAGTTTTGAGATTCCGTATCCTCCTTTTCTACAGGTTAAAGAGTTTAAAAAAATATGGCTATTGGGATAACGAGACATGTACAACATTACGGACTGATATAGTTCCTGTTATATAGGAATAAAGTGTCGCTGTTGACATTTGAATTTGAACATAGATTGCCAGTGAGCAAACAAAGGAGACCCCATTATTGAATTAAGTAGACCACGTGACTACAGAGGAAACGCATATATCGATGGAAGAATGTGTTTAATTGATCGCTATATCTCCCCTATCCTCTATTACTATACGGATCACCATTTCTACTCTATCTTCTATTACTGTATGGACCGCTATTCTCTACTCTATTCACTATACTATTTCTCTATTCAGATCACTATACGGGTTACTTGTCGACGAGTATTGTCTTGTAAGTGCCATAAGTGCGAGTCATATTCGAAGGCGTCTGACACCAGCATTGTTCAACGGTGTTACTATAGTTTTATCTGCGATTACAAAGTCTCTACTACACCGACCATTCCGAAAGGGACAACGAGTATTCGTTGACATCACAAAAGTGTCAACGAGTGCTCGTTCACATCAAAAAGTCCCTATGTCAGATCTTGACATTCAGTGAAATCAGCGCCTGGAATATAGTTTTTAATAGATGAGAAGAAGAAGCCTATATTATTTTTTCTATTGGTGTTTTATGCAATTAATTGATTTGTTTGATGACATCCATATCATTATTACATACCTTACCAGAATTAAAGCCAAATCCTGTTAAGAGAAGTTGATTTTCATTGAACGATGAGAAATGTTCATTAGTAATTTCACCATAATGGATAAAATTGAGATATCACTGAATGTCTTGAAGACTACACGTTTTAATTTCCATTCTGTATTGGATGTGTCTGTTGGGCGTAGGCATTGGATTGCTTGAAGAGTTAAACTCCTGACATAACATAAAGTCATGTAATCTGATTGTGACATGTCAGTGAACACTTGATCGTCTCAGATTGGAATCAGATTAATGGAGGACGGAAATTTATGATGAGGAACGTTGAATCATGGAGGAAAAAGACAATTCCGTTAAAGCGAATGATTAAAAATGTTGATCAAGAAAATAGAAGGGCTGTATAGAAAAATAAGATGAAGACGGTGAAAGGGCGACAAAGAAGCAAAGGTAAATTAGAAGAAAAAAAGAAAGGAATACGGACAAGATGAAGAAGAAGAAAGGGTGTGACTGTAAAAAGACAAAGGTGAATCAAAAAGGAAAGGTAAAAAAGATGATGATGAAGACGGGGAAAGAAGTGATTGCAATGAAGGAAAATGAATCGGAAAGGAAACAAGAAGGAGGGGAAGAAGAATCAGGAGGAGGAGGAGGAGAAGAAGAACAAGAAGAAGAAAAGAAGAAGAAGAATGAGAAGAAGAATAAGGGGAAGAAGAAGTAGAAGAAAAAGAAGGGGAAGAAGAAGAAGAAGAAGAAGAGGAAGAAGAAGAATGAGAAACAGAAAGGGGAAGAAGAAGAATCAGAAGGAGAAGAAGAAAAAGTAGAAGAAGAATCAGGACAAGAAGAATAAGAAGCAGGAAAAGAAAAAGAAAGGAAGAAGAAGAATGAGAAGCAGAAGGGGAAGAATAAGAAGAAGTGGAAGAAGAAGAATGGGAGGGAGAAGAAGAAGAAGAAGTAGGACAAGAAGAAGAAAGGAAGAAGAAGAATGAGAAGAAGAAGAAGAAGAAGAAGCAGGACAAGAAGAAGAAGAAGAAGAAGGAGAAGAAGAAAAAAGGAGAAGCAGGACAAGAAGAAGAAGAAAAACAAAAAAAGGAGAAGAAGCAAGACAAGAAGAAGAAAGGAAGTAGAAGAATGAGAAGAAGAAGGGAAGAAGAAGAAGAAGAAGAAGGAGAAAAAGAAGCAGAAGAAGAAGCAGGCAAGAAGAAGAAAGGAAGAAGAAGAATGAGAAGAAGAAAGGAAGAAGAAGAAGCAGGACAAGAAGAAAAAGAAGGGGAAGAAGAAGAAGAAAAAGAAGAAGAAGCAGGACAAGAAGAAGAAAGGAAGAAGAAGAATGAGAAGCAGAAGGGGAAGAAGAAAAAGAAGAAGAAGAAGGGGAAGAAGAAGAAGAAGGGGAAGAAGAAGATGGAGAAAAAGAAAAAGAAGAAAAAGAAGAAGCAGGACAAAAAAAGAAAGGAAGAAGAAGAACGAGAAGAAGAAGGGGAAGAAGAAGAAGAAGAAGAAGAAGGGGAAGAAGAAGAATCATAAGAAGAAGAAAAAAGTAGAAGAAGAAGCAGGACAAGAAGAAGAAAAATAGAAGAAGGGGAAGAAGAAGAAGAAGAAGGGGAAGAAGAAGAAGAATCAGAAGGAGAAGAAGAAAAAGAAGAAGAAGCAGAACAAGAACAAGAAAGGAAGAAGAAGAAAGGTAGAAGAAGAAAGGAAGAAGAAGAAGAATAAGAAGATGGGGAAGAAGATGAAGAAGGGGAAGAAGAAGAATCAGAAGGAGATGTAGAAAAAGAAGAAGAAAACGCAGGACAAGTAGAAGAATGAGAAGAAGAAAGGGAAGAAGAAAAAGAAGAAGAAAAGAAGAAAAAGAAGTAGGAGAAGCAAGACAAGAAAAAGAAAGGAAGAAGAATGAGAAGAAGAATAAGAATGAGAGGAAGAAGAAAAAGGGGAAGAAGAAGAATCAGAGGAAGAAAAGAAGAAGAAGCAGGACAAGAAGAAGAATCAGAAGAAGAAGGGGAAGAAGAAAAAGAAGAAACAAGACAAAAGCAGAAAGGAAGGAGAAGAAAAACGATGGAACAGAAAAAAAAAGAATTGAACAGGATAGCAGATAGTGACAAACGCATAAAACAGTCACGTTATTTTATTCCTCAGCTAAAAAAGAATAACTGAACGCTTGAAGATTACATTAGTCCCACCATTAACGCCAATCAAGTAAACAGGCGCTCTCGTGACGTCTGATGCATGACACAGTCGAGCTTCTTCACTTTAATCGGTCAACAGTCATCAATATTATGGCATTACAGCGTTTGCTCACTGGTCAGTGTCTTCTTTTTGGATAGCTCGCTTCCAATTAATTTTCATGCAGACCTCTCCTTTGCGATTATGCATCCGTGGATAGTATATAGAATGGTTTAATTATAATGGTGTATTATATATATATTAATACACGTTTCATTAAATAATATAGACAAGTGTTGTCTATTTATTTTATGTAAATTCTTTTCATAACGTCTGATAAGCTTAATAACATTATCATTAAACGAAGAAAGAAAATTACAATATTGATCCATATTTTGTAATCCAATCTAAGCTTTTCGCTTACATAAGCCATTATCAAAGATGACATTTACTGTACAATATATTAAGCAATACACGGACTAGAATGTGATGATAGTCTGTTTCTGTTTACATGGATGATTTCCAAGCAACGATAAACACGTGCATATAAGACGCTGGAAGCGAAAATCGCACCGCAGCTCATGACGTAACACATGACCACGCGAGAGTGAATTGGAGAAGTGTGAAGTATGGGAAGCCGTTGGTATAAACCAATGGCTTCTGTTACCAATTATAGACCTTTAAGAATATTTGTAGAATTGCCATAATTGATTTTTTTTTAGGTTGGGTTTCAAATGTTTGATGTATAATGCTTCAAGAATTTTTAGTTTTTGTCTATTGTTTTCATGTCGAAGTATAATTGAGTTTTCGACAGATATTTTACGGAATTGTGTGTGCGGCCAGGCATGTTGTTTTAAATGCCTAAAAATGTTAGAGTTTTCATTCAAATGTAGTGTCAAGCATCGTGAAGGCAAGTTTTGTGGTGTGACCAACATAAATATTATTTAATTCGTTGGAGATACAATCTCCCAAAGGGCACTTGAATTTGTAAACTATGTTGTTTTTTTTTTTTTTTTTAAATCGCTAAACGGGGGAGAAGAATCATCGCGAAGAATTAAGTTATTTAAATCAAATTGAGTTAAAGTAAGCTCTGTTCCATCTTCAAGCGAAATTATTTTATTTTATTTATTTATTTTTTTTTTTTTGAATAACGTATTTCTGAAATTTACGTGTTTGAAAAATTGAAATCAAAATTTCCATGGTAACAGCGAGGGCGAATTGTTTAAATTGGGTAGGCGTGTGTTGGGTGTTAATAATAAGTATCAGTATAGAGTTACTTTCATAGATGTCAAGTCAATTCGCCCTAGCTGTTACCATAGAAATTTCAGAAATACGTTATTCCAAAAAAAAAAAAGAAAAATTTCACTTGAAGATGGAACAGAGCTTCCTTTAACTCAGTTTGATTTAAATAATTATATTGAAGTTTTCGGCTCTTGTTTTGAAACATGAGACCTCTTATGTCGCGATTTGGAATCATATTTTTAAATAAATAATTATATTTATACTCTACTTTTGTATCGAGCACTATTTTTAAAAAATAATAACTAAAATACTAAGGGACTTTGGATTATTTACCTAACCAGTTCCTTCCTATTTTCTATATATTTTCACACACACACACACACACACACACACATATATATATATATATATATATATATATATATATATATATATATATATATATATATCCAATTCTTTCTTCGCTTCTATTTATCTTTCATTTTTGCACTAAAACCAAGTAGTGTCTTTTCCCCTCTGTCCACGCGATCAAAATGGAATAATCCATTATTTATGAGGGATTGGTAGGAGATACAGTGGACTAATGAATAGCTGATTAAGGAATCGGAGAGCCGAGTTCGAATTTCAGTCGAATCCATTTCATTCACTTACGTGCAAGTACTCTTGGGAAAGGTATGAATTTTCTTCTTCTCTCCACCAACTACGGATAAATAGCAGGACAGTCTATAGACTTGGATGGCCACTGGTCTAACGCAGAAACAAATGGAAACCTACTGCGGGAAAAATCTGCCTTGTCAGTCATGTATCGAAAGGCACATGATCGCCTAGGCGTGTATCACGCATGACACCTAACTGATTGATTGGTAGGAGACGTTAAACACTTCTATTTTCCAATTCCTTTCATTTTCTCACAGAAACCAAGTAGCATTTTTTTTCTATACAATCAAAACAGGATAGTCCATTATCTATGAGGTATTGGCAGGAGAGGTTAAACCCTTCTATCTTCCCTTCTTTCTTTCACACTTGAACGAAGTAGTGTCTTTCCCCACACTTTCTACGCGATCATAACAGAATAGTCCATTTTTATGAGGTATTGGCAGGGAGTAACGGTCGTGCGAACTAACGAAGAAAGGGACAAATAAAACTATAACAGGACATTATGTAAAATCTTCGACATAATCCGAGTGTAAATATTCCTGAAAGCCTTTTAAAATCTCAACAGAATTGTCAGACGATTAATGATTTCGTTTTTTTTACAAGGCCAACATAGAAATCAATCAGAAATATTTTGTTTTCCGATTGGCTTTATACACTATCGAAGCGTAATTATGTTTTCCTATAATTCTCCTCTAAAATTGCCGTGTTTATTTGAACTTAACGCAACTGACATCATTTCTTTAAGGCCATTAGGAGTACTTTTTTTTTTCCTTTAATACTCGTCCGGACTGGCTTTTAACGCCTACTTACGAATCGTCGTGTTTTTTTTAACCCTCTTAACATAAATCATTGATGCACTTGTCAAACTCTGGCTCCCCACCATTCCTGAAGGCTGGTTAAACATTGCTGCTTGCTTTATATCATTCGTGGTGCGTCTCGCTTACAGTGGCGTGTATTATTCATCATCCTCGTCAACAGTCCATGGCCGGCTGCGGTCGTTGGATCATTGCGCTGCTGAACAGTCGACCGACCCCCCTCTCTCTCTCTCTATATATATATATATATATGGGGTGAAAGACTGAGAGATATGCATTCATGCGTAACGTGTCTTCATGAAATATGCCTGATGGAGCCTATCCCCCCTCCGGTTAAAACAAGGCTGTCCTCTAAATAAAAGACACACCTTGGTCAAGAACACGTAACTGTTTATTCTAACAGCAGAAGAATCGTCCATCTCAGGTTCATCTACATCCATAGCTATGGATCCTTCTTTATCCCATTTTACAGTATGACCATTGAACCAGCAAGAAGGCTTATCCACCCTTTAGCATATTTTATTTTTAATACAGTTTTTTAATCCAATCTGCTAATCTCTCTCAGCAACATGTTGGATGCTTTGTAAGGTACATAAATTTGAAATGAATAATTTTCAATCTGTCTCGTAGAACTGTTGGGAATCTAGCCACCGTCTTTACTAGAAAGGTCTGGTGTGTGATATTGCTTAATCGTCGATGAGCAGACAACGCATCGGAGAGTATGGGTTACATGCCTCCAGTAGCAATCGTAGAGTGACCTCAGATAAATATTTTTTTTTTTTTTAAATATGAAAGGATCTGTCAGACAGAACCAATCTTAATAATTATCTTTCCCCATTACTTTTATTCATACATAGTTTATATTGATATCACAATGTACATTTGCTTCGTTGTATGTCGTCTCCGGATTCGTGTGGCAATTCTTCAGTCACCAACGCTGCATCACAGATTAAATTAATGACGGATAACTTTCTTTATATAGCTTTTCACATGCATTATTTCATGTGGGGGACACTAACTGTAGTATCGTTTCTTGGAGAAGATGAGGATGAGAGAGAAAACGGAAGTCAACAACTTTTTGGCTAACTCCTCATTACCCCGTGGTGACTGTCTTGTTCAACAATCTGGGAGCAGCGAGGCGACATCACTCTTCTATTCTTGCAACAGTATTGCCTAACTTTCGATTTTTGGAGGGGGTAAAATTTAAACCAAACATTCGTTTTCTACAGCTTAGCCAAACTTTGCTGGTTGTTTAAAGCCAGAAAATTGTTTAGTTGTAAGAATTCAGGGGGATGGGAGACAATAATTGTTTAGTTATACAAGTCTTACTAATTAACCTATAGCTGGGGGAGAAGAGATGGGTTACTTACTTGAATATAACCTACGCAACGGGAATTGGAACACAACTCCCCGACTATTAATCCCGAGCCATTATCCATTACACAAACCGTACATCCAAGTTTAAAGCACATTGTATTTCTAGGCTTTCACCCATCTAGGTAGGGAACAGGCATGACATTGCTTAACTTTGGTGATCTTACGGCAACCGATGTTTAAACGTGATATGTCTGTAAGCTCTTAAACAAAGACAGTCTGTGACTATCAGTAAAAAAAGCAGAACTAAATGGCGTAAAATTTCCCTAACGAACTGGGTAGCAGAAGCTGGAAATTTCTACCGAATAAGAAGTCGTGGAGAGCTATGATCAATAATGTGAGAAAAGGATACTTCCCATGAAAACGTATATGTTTTAAGAAGCGAAAAAAGAAACAAATAAAATATTACTTGTGAGAATTTTCATTTTAATTACAAAATATGTTATGGAAATTATTATCACTTTTGTTCGGATGGTGTCAGTTGAAGCGTATGTGCCATGGAATCGCGACCCATGGACCACAATTCGCAGTCAAGACTTTCATTCTAAAAGACATTTCTTCTCGCGAGACGAGCAGGACCCGATAAGCAAACATACATCGAAAACAATAAGACACAGGTTAAAAATGACGCAATAAAAGCCAGAGATTTCCCCTCCCGGAAAACTCCTAATTTACCATGCTGTGGCTTTGGACGTCTGTTCAGATTTATCATAGAACTAATTTCACATATAAGTAAAGAGCGATGTGCACCCCAATCATCGGCAACGAGTTCCGCCAACGACGAATAAAATATTTCGTATTATATTAGATTATTGCAAAAGTTCTTGCATCTTTTACTGACAAAAAAACAGATATTA